TCCTTCCATCTCAGCCTTTCAAGTAGCTGGAACTACAGACACATGCCACCACACCTGGCTAGTTTTTGTGATTCATTGTAGAAACGAGGTCTCACCAAGTTGCCCAGGCTGGTCTCGAACCCCCGGGGGGCTAAGGCAATCCTCTCGCCTCGGCCTCCCAAAGTGCTGGGATTACAGGCTGAGCCACCGTACCCGGCCTATGTTTTCCATCTTATTCCAAAACCTATGACCAAAAAAAGTCAGTACAAATGCTCGTAATCTCAAAATTCATCTCAAAGCCACGCATTTCTCTCACATGCTACCAAACTAGTGGAAACCAACAGCTCCCACATGGAACATAGCAATAACCTCCTAAGCATCATCCTACTTCCCTCTTACCCTTTGCAAATAAACCCATCATCCACACAAAAGCCAATGACATTTTTAAATATAAACTGGAACACATCCCACTGTGCCTAGATAAAAATCCTTAACATGCTTTACAAAGCCTTGCCATAATCTAGTGTGCCCTGCTTAACTCCTAAAATTTATCTTACACCCTTCTCAAGTGGCTAAAAAGTAGCCACGATTCTTTACATTTGTCAGGTGTGCCAAGCTCTAGCTTCAAGTCTTCCCACTGCCTGCCCCACTTCCATCTGCTGTCCCACTATGACCTCCATGTTATAAACTATTCATCCTCTGGGTCTCAAATAGCACTTCTTTCAGAACATCTTCTATCCATTTTAAATTATGCTTTCAGCTGGGCTCGGTGGCTCAGCCTGTAATCCCGCGCCTTTGGGAGGCTGAGGTGAGTGAATTGCCTGAGCCTGCGGGTTCGAGACCCGCCTGAGCAGCGAGACCTCATCTCTACAATAAATCAAAAAATCAGCCGGGCGTGGTAGTGCAGGCCTGTAATTCCAGCTACTGGGAAGGCTGAGGCAGAAGGATCGCCGGAGCCCAGCAGGTCGAGGCTGCGGTGGCCGGGAGCAGCCACTGCACTCCAGTCTGGGTGACAGAGTGAGACTCCAACTCAAAAAATAAAATAAAATAAAAAATATAAAATAAATAAATTATGCTTTCATTGTATTCTGTACTTCTCTACTTTGTCTTATCAGTTAGTACTTACTCTATACTTTTGTTTAGCATCTGGCTTTTTCCACAAGACATGTCCATGATGGCATGACCTTGTTTATATTTTCACCACAGTACCTGCAGTGCTTAGCACCATGGCTGCCACACTGGAGGCACTCAACATATGATAAAATGAAGGAAGCCTAATTTGGTGGAAAGCCAAGGGTCTCCTCCGAATGAGACACCCTTGGCTCTTCAAAAACTGAATCCTGACTGTTATACCCACAATTTGAGATGAGATACTTTCACCACAGCCAACCCTCTAGGACCTGCACGTCATTTCCATTCTCACATTAAAACAAACCTACATCATACAGTCTCTGTGTACCTTAGATCTAAATCATTCTTCCATACCCTCTACAAAAATCAACCTTTCTGTTCCCATTCTCTACTGAGTCCAAGACTCCAAAACAGAAATCAAAGTTCATCAAAATCATAGTTCAGAAATTACTTGAATGTATGACAATCCTATACATTAATGAGGGATGTGAAGGAAAACTATTTAAAGCACTTAAATGATACTTTCCTATCACAATTACATGGTTTATCTAGTCACTTATGACTTAGTCTTTGAGGTAAATGTAACTGCCATCTGGAAAGATTAAATTATTTCTTATCTAAAACAACTCTTTCAGTTTCGAATAATGGCAAAACTATTGTTGTATAAAAGAAAAATAGGAACATGGCAGGAACACCATTCCTTCAAATACTTGGGATTCTCTTCCTGTGTCCCCTTTGGAGCAAAAATATACTCAATTCCAGTCTGGGCAATACAGCAAAACACTGGCTGCAGTGAGCTGTGATTGTGTCACTGCACTTCAGCCTGGTTGAAAGAATGAGACCCTGACTGGAAATAAACAAGTAAATAAAGTTATGTTCAAGTCTAGACAGGAAAGAACCAGGGCGTTACACACATAACTCAATGCCACAGCCTTTTAATTCCTAGGGGAGACTATCTTTACAGATGAAGGAAACTAGGATCCTTTATAATATAATACAAAATAGGAAATTTTTTTTTTTTTTTGAGTTGGAGTCTCACTCCATCACCCAGACTGGAGTGCAATGGCCGCTCCTGGCCACTGCAGCCTCCTGCTGGGCTCCGGCGATCCTTCTGCCTCAGCCTTCCAAGTAGCTGGAACTACAGGCATGCACTACGAGACCCGGCTAATTTTTTGATTTATTGTAGAGATGAGATCTCGCCAAGTTGCCCAGGTGGGTCTCGAATCCGTGGACTCAGGCAATCCACTCACCTCAGCCTCCCAAAGCACTGGGATTACAGGCTGAGCCACCGAGCCCGGCTCAAAATAGGAAATTAATGTTAACATGCTTAAAACAAACTTTAATATTTTAAAAAATTCCATGCACAAATACTCTACCCTGGAAATGCAAATTAGAATACAGTACCCATTGTTTTAAAACTACAAACAATAGGGAAAAGAGGGTTTGGCTGCTAATGGATACAAGGTTTTTTGGGGAGAATGATGAAAATGTTTTAAACTTGACTGTAGTGATGGCTGCACTGTTTTGTGACTACAGTAAAGATCATTACTTCAAATGGGAGAAATGTACAGCATGCAAATTATACCTCAATAAATCTGTTAAACTACAAAAAGGCTAGGTGTGGTGGTTCACATCTGTAATCCCAGCACTTTGGGACCCAAGGTGGAAGACCAGCTTGGACAACAATAGTGAGACCTCATCTCTATCCAAAAAAAAAGAAAAAGGGGGAAAACAATTAGCTGTGCATGGTGGCATATGCCTGTAGTCCCACCTACTCAGAAGGATGAGATGAGAGGACTGCCTGATCCCAGAGGATTGAGGCTACAGTAAGCAATTACCATGCCACTGCACTCTAGCCTGAGATCCCCAGCAAGACGCTGACTCGAGGAAAAAAGCCAGGCTCAGTGGCTCACGCCTGTAATCCCAACACTTTGGGAGTAGAGGCAAGAAGATTGCCTGAGCCCAGGGGATCAAGACCAACTTGAGCAACTTAGTGAGACCTCGTCTCTACAATAAATCAAAAAAAATTAGCTGGGTGTGATGGTGCACGCCTGTGGTTCTAGCTACTTGGAAAGCTGGAGTAGAAGGATCACCTGAGCCCAGCAGGTCAAGACCATGGTGGCCGTGAGCATGCCACTGCCCTCCAGCCTGGGCATCAGAGTAAGACTGAGACTCAAAAAAGACTATAATCAAATACAGGAAAGGGCCTTCCAACTAAGGTGTTGGGTTCTAGGATGAACTTCGGGGACAAACACCTGGGTTAGGTTGAGGGCAGGGCACAGAAACTTGACAAGTGGAAGGAAAATAGCCTTCTGAGTAGTAAAGATGAGAATAGTATACAGAGTAATCTAATTTGGCTAGAAATCTGAAAAAGTGAGCCAAAAATTCGGGGTGAAAATGACGGGCCTTAGAATTGAGAGCCCTAAATGGCCACACTGAGAACCTGAAAATTAATACAGAGCTTCTTAGAAGGTTTTTGTCCAAGAACATGACAACGGATTAAATGATATCTATATGTATTCAAAGGGTAGACTCTTACTCTAACCAAGGAACGACTTGTGTGAGTCACCATTTTTTGCTATCTATTCTCGTCCCATAACTTATTATAGGTTCTAAAGTCAAATAGAGCCACTGAGCCATGAACAGTTGCAACCAACACCTCGTTGGAAAGTATTATCGTGAAAGTGCAACACTATTAAGGGGTAATTGTGCACAAAACGATAGCAGAGAATGAACTGTAGTTCAATATCCTAAAACGATATAGAACACAAAGTGAATGCAGGCCAGGCTCGGTGGCTCAGCCTGTAATCCCAGCACTTTGGGAGGCCGAGGTGAGTGGATTGCCTGAGCCCACGGGTTCGAGACCAGCCCGGGAAACTTGACAAGACCTCATCTCTACAATAAATCAAAAAAGTAGCCGGGCATGATAGCACGCGCCTGTAGTTCCAGTTATTTGGAAGGCTGAGGCGAAAGGATCGCCGGAGCCCAGCAGGTGGAGGCTGCGGTGGCCGGGAACGTGCCACTGCACTCCAGTCTGGACGACATAGTGAGACTCCACTCCAAAAAAAAAAAAGTGAATGTAAAGATGTAACTAGAGCATCCATTTTATTAAATTCTTTTCTTGGTGACTCAAGCCTGTAATCCAGTGCTTTGAGAGGATGAGACGGGAGGACTGCTTGGGGGCAGTAGCTGGAAACTAGTCTGGGCAACATAAGAATTCCCCGTCTCTACAAAAAAAAAAATTCTGAAAAATACCCTCCTGAGCCCAAGAATTCGAAGCTGCAGTGAGCCATGATCCTGCCACTGCACTCCAGCCCTGGCGACAGAACGAGATTCTGTCTCTTAAAGAAAAAAAAAATGCACTCCGTCTCTGACATTTACCCGGCCCTCCTCAATCTGGAGATCCTGGGTCCCTGCGGAACCAAGCCTCCGCCGCTCCGGCTGGCTCTTCCGGGAGCTGCCCCGCCCCCACTCACGTGGGCCTGACCGCTCTATGGTCTCGCGGCCGGCAATCGCCAGGACCCGTTCAATTCAACTAACTTGCACTGACCGCCTACTGTATGCAAAGCTGAGCTCCGTGTTGGACGCAAAAGCGTCGGTGCACCCAGCCCGGCCTCTGCCCCGTGGAACGAGGCTCTCGGCCCATACCGTCCCAGACCGCCTTCTCCTGGGTCCTCCCGAGCTCTCCGCGTCTGAACACCGGCCCACAGCCTCGCGCCCGCGCAGACCTAGCTCCCGGCGGGTCCTGGCTACTCGTGACCCGGCACCCCGTGGGGTCCCCCACCCACCGGGACCTGGGCTCAGAACGGCGGCGACTCGGCCCGTAGTCCCCGAGTAGTAAGGGTCGAAGCCAGAGCCGGCCCCCAACGCGCCGGCCAGGCACCACTTACGGGGTGCAGCGGTCGCTATACTCGTTGGCGATGGTCTCGATGCCGCCGGCGCGGGCTACCGCGACGTAGCAGCTCTGGAAGCCCAGGTCTATGCCCACGACCGACATGGCGCCGGCTACGGCTCGGCCCGGGTCCGGCCGCCGGGACAGGTCGCGGACCCCGGCGAGGCTAACGCGTGGAGAGTGGGCCGCGTGGGCGGGGGCACCAGGCTGCTGGGGGCGTGCAGGTGTCCACGCGAGAGCCTGGTCCTCGTAGGGGGGACAGCAACCGAGGACGTTACCCAGGCCGGCTCCGGCTCAGCGGCAGCAGAAGAGGCGCCGGTAACGGGGGCGGAGAAGATCTCGAAGGATCTCGTAGCGACGGGAGTAGAGCTGCAGCGCGAGAACTGCAAAAGAACGGAATGTTCTCGCGAGATCCCGGCTCAGACGCCTTTCCTCTTGAGGTCCCGCCCTCAGTACGTTACATCCTGTCTAGACAACCGGAGAAGGGACTGGCTGGCTAAAAGATGGCCGGCAGATTGAGCTGGCCGACTGGGCCTGCGCACAAGTCCCGCCGCAGCGGCGCTCTGCAGCAGCAAAAAGCTGTGGGTCCCTCCCCTTCCGAAAGAAAGTGGGAAAGACTTCTTGAGGCAATATGCTGAGGAGGCGCTGCGGCCTACTTCCATCGTTTTTACCGCAAAGGAACTTCCGGTGGTAGTGTCTTCGGCGCTCCACGTTCTATTCGTGCCCCCAAATGAGAACGCGAGCTAATCTTCAGATTCCACAGGGCCCTCGCTACTCTCCTAGGGTGAGGTTGACTGGTAAGGTAGAAGGCAGCTGTTGGAACGCGGCCCTGAGCAGGTGGCGCCCTCGCCGGCGGAGGGAAGGAGCCCACTCCCATTCATGCTGTCTTGTTTCTTTCCTATAGCACCGTTCCCTAAACCACTCGTGTCATTAGATCTGATTGAAGGGCCTGCAGGGTTTAAACCTGTCCCCAACACATTCCAAGCACCTGTCGGGTGCTAGGCCCTGAGCTGGGTACTAGGGACACACAGCCAGTTAACATGCTACCTCGCCTGGAATGTCTTCAGTCCTTTACACGAAGTCAGTGGGTTGCAAGTTTCAGGGCCCATCGCTCTCACGAGCTCCTGGGAGAGTAGAGAGTTGCTGAGAGTTAAGGAGTGTTCCAGGTGTAGAGCAGACGCCAACTTGACATCAGGAAGCAATTCTGTGTAAGCATTTCTAATAAATTGCCTTTTTAAAAATCTCAGAGCCAGGCTCGGTGGCTCAGCCTGTAATCCCGCGCCTTTGGGAGGCTGAGGTGAGTGGATTGCCTGAGCCCGCGGGTTCGAGACCCGCCTGGGCAGCGAGACCTCATCTCTACAATAAATCAAAAAATTAGCCGGGCGTGGTAGCGCGTGCCTGTAATTCCGGCTACTCGGAAGGCTGAGGGGGAAGGATCGGCGGAGCCCGGCAGGTCGAGGCTGCGGTGGCCGGGAGTGGCCACTGCACTCTGGTCTGGGCGACAGAGTGAGACTCCAACTCAAAAAAAAAAAACTCAGAAGAAGAAGAATCTTCAGTAATGTGTTGTGATTTCTCGTTTTAAATATTCATTTTGTTTTGAGTCAAGGTCTCACTCTGCTTCCCAAGCTATATGCAGTGGCATCATGGCTCACCATAGCCTCGACCTCTTGGGCTCAAGTGATTCGTCCACCTCAGCCCCTAAGGTAGGACTACAGGTGCACCACACCAGGCTTTTTGTTTGTATGTCTGTTTGTTTTTAGAGGGAGGAGGCCTCACCACCCACCTCTGCCTCCCAAAAAGAGCCGCCCCCTCTCCTTCCCCACCCCACCCCATCCCTTCCCCCACCACCAAAAGTGTATAAGCTTCAGCTAAAAATAAAAATTAAAAAACCTGGATCATCCCCATCAGGAGGGTAGCTAAACAAGTAAAAGGGGTTCCAGTACAGGTGACAAGTGCTGTATGCACAGAATGGGAGACACTAGGAGGACTTCCCCCAAAAAAGGAAAAGGCTGTGTTCCACTTAGAAAAGCCAGTAATAGGCCAGGTGCAGTGGCTCAGCCTGTAATCCCAGCACTTTGGGAGGCCAAGACAAGAGGATTGACTGAGCCTGGGGGTTTGAGACCAGCCTGGGCAACTTGGTGAGATTTCGTCTCTACAGTAAATCACAAAAACTAGCCAAGCATGGTGGCATGCGTCTGTAGTTCCAGCTACTTGGAAGACTGAGGCGGAAGGATTGCCTAAGCCCAGCAGGTCGAGACTGTGGTGGCCGTGAGCATGCCACTGCACTCCAGCCTGAGCAACAAAAGTGAGATTCCAACTCAAAAAAAAAAAAAAAAAAAAAGAAAATCCAGTAATAGAAAGTTAGTGTGCTTTGAGGACTACAAGAAGTTCTGTATTGCCGGCTGGGGGATAGACTGAGTTGAAGGCCTCAGTGCTAGAGTACTTGCTCTTGGGCCATTTAAAAAAACGAATGCGCAAAGAACAAATTACCCCCTTCCCTTTAAATCTCTGCATTTCCTGCTACCTCAGGAAGTACTTCAAGTCTCTAGGAGCAGTGCCAAAACTTGCAAATAACCTCACCAATTCTCACATTTTGGATAATTCACACCTGTTTTTCCTTTCTAGGACAAGTACCAGGTGCTAACTGTAAAAGGGTAACGAGGGTAAAAAATGCCAAGAAAAAGCCTTTGGAAAAAAGAGAGCAGTAACAAACATATTTGTATAATCATGTTTATAGTAGCTTATTCATAAGAGCTAAAAAGTAGAAACCACCCAAATGTCTATTGACGAATGGATTTTTGTTTAATGTGGTGTATACACACGGGGATATTATACAGCCTTAAAATGGAATGACAAAGACTGAGGGATAAAATTCTGATATGAATGAACCTTGAAAACATGCGAAGTGAAAAGCTAAACTCAAATGAACAAATGAATATGATTCCACTTGTAAGGCATCTAGAATAGGAAAATACATAGAGACAGAAAATGGAAGAGTGGTTAATACAGGCTTATGAGTAACGTGGAATGGAGAGTTATTGCTTCAGGGACACAGAGTTTCAGTCTGAGATGATGAGAAAGCTCTGGAGATGGGTAGTGGTGATGGTTAATGTGAATGTACTCGATGACACTGATTTGTCTTTTAAAAATGATTAAAATGGAAAATTTCATGTATATTTTTCAAGTTTTAAAAAAGAAATCGGCCGGGCTCAGTGGCTCAGCCTGTAATCCCGCGCCTTGGGTGGCTGAGGTGAATGGATTGCCTGAGCCGTGGGTTCGAGACCACCTGGGCAACTTGGTGAGACCTCATCTCTACAATAAATCAAAAAAATTAGCTGGGTGTGTTAGTGTGCGCCTGTAGTTCCAGCTACTTGGAAGGCTGAGGGGGAAGGATTGCTGGAGTCCAGCAGGTCGAGGCTGCGGTGGCTGGGAGCGGCCACTGCACTCCAGTCTGGGCAACAGAGTGAGACTCCAACTTAAAAAAAGAAATTAGGCTGACCTTGACCTTTCTTCCTATTTTTCGCCTATACAAGGGGGATACTGAAAAAACCAAGGACAGTATTGACCTTAATAGTAACATAGACTTCTGTCTCCATCTGTTTGTCTGAGTCATTAAGCACTGGGCAAACAGAGCCCAAGACTGAAGTGTCCTATTGACCTAAAAGATCACTGAGTTACGGACTGTCTCTACATTTCTTCTATTAGGGGGCCCCTCTACCTTTAGCTAAATTGACAAAACAGTATATTTTTTTACTATATCTATGTTCCGACTTCATACCTCAACTGCCTTGTTTGCCTTGATACTGCTTTCTGTTTAAAATACCACTGCCCTATCAATCTTTTTAATGATTTGTCCTTCTCAAAATAAAACATAACAAACATCAGTCACAGAGAGTACTCATCCTGCTATAAATAGTTTCCTGGATCATCAAACTTATAGCTCTAGAAGCTATTCTGGGATATTTAAATAAATGAAGTCAGAAAAAGTTATTTGAGAATTCTGAAGAATCTAAAGTGGCAGGTCTCCAGGAATCACAATTGTGAACGAAGAAAGTTTCCAGAATATTTAATGTTGGAGCCATTGTGATTGGAGTACAAGTTCTTTTCATTCACCAGAGCATCTTGAGTATCTTAGAAGGAAGTTGTTAAGTGCTTCTCTATTACAATGATTAAATTTAATTCTAAGAAATCACAAAGGTATATTTTAAATATACAGTGTTCATAGGTTGCCCACCAGGAGACAAAAGCTTCTCAGTCAGTTGAGAACTCATAATTCTCCGTGTCAAGTGTCCTGTGGGATTCTGTCCTACACTCTGGAACAGCTTCTGTAATTTTTTGCTTCATGAAGAAGCTACATGCTCAGGTAGTGGTACTTTTCTGGCCTCTCCAATCTCACAGTGAGTGGACCAGTGTTTTTAATCAAAGAAACACAACTTTCTTAAACTCTGTAATTCCAGTAATGCAACTGTAATGGTAATTACCATGTCTCTAGCTCCTGAAGTATGTAATGCAATTGTAATGGTAATTACCATTTCTCTAGCTCCTGAAGTATGTGCCAGGTGTTGTACTGAGTGGTTTCAGTATTATAATTCACTTAATCCTCATAGGAAGCCCATCAAGTAGGTGTTATTTTTTCCTGTTTTATAGATAGAGAACTGATAAGGAACTTGTTCAAGAGACTGGCAAGGTTAAGGAACAGCTTTTAAAACTCCACCTTCAGCACTGGTCACCTGCAACTACACCACCTCTTTCTTTAAGCTCATGTTCCTTGTACAGGTGTATTAAAGTAAGTATAGGAAACACACAAAAGTAATAGAAAAGAATCAACCAGAGTCATCCACTGTTGACATTTTGGAATATTTTCCTTCTTTTCTGTATTTTATATATATATAAGTGTTGCATTTGCTTGAACCTTTTATTAATTCTAGCTTAAATCAGGCTTTACCAAACTGTACCACAGGACAGTGTTCTAGGAGATATTACTAGGTTAATATTGGCATTTAAAGACTCAGAGAAGTCCTGTGAAAAAAAGTTTCGTTTTGTGTAATCATAAATACCAATATAAAAAATACTGGGTTAAGAAGAAGTAGAGCACAGTTTAGTCTCCCTTTTTCACATAAGTGTTTTCCTAACCATAATGCTCTTCTGCTATAAAAACTATCGCAGTTCATTTCTAACTCAAAATTGGCTGAAACCCCAGGGTCTTCACTCCACTCTGGCTATCAAACGGTCTGCTTACATAATAGCACTACGATCTCATCCAGCAGTCCTTCCCTCAAACCCCTCTTTTTTTGCCCTAACTCGGGCTGATTCACTTACACATGTGCCTTGCAGTATCATTTGAAGTCCCGTCTGTTTCCCTCTTCTTAAAATGCTGGGTGAACATTGCATA